TTTGTGGAAAGCGCATAGTGTTGTCCTGTCATAGTATTTGTGATTTTTAGCAGGACTAGGTATGTTCCACAATGTCTCCCTAATGCTCCGACCAAGTTGCGAAAACAAGGTAGAACCAACACTATAAAGCTAAAGGAGACTACGACCAAATAGAAGGCTAGACGATCTTGATCTTCGTATCTATGACCAAATCTCTTTTTTATTTTAGTTTATCTGACAAATAAATAGTTCCACTGAAGTTTTAAAGCTAAAAATATTAGGCTTATTAATTTAATTTTTTGAATAATGAATGCTCACTATATTAAAGATGGGAAGCATCTGCAATACTACGGTAGTAAACAGGATTTTTAGCGACTTGGAGCATGATGAATAAGACAATAAAAGAGTGCAGAAAAAACCTGAATGAAGAACAGCTTTGGCTTTCCAATCAAATCAGCACATGAGTCGCCATGAAATGGTTGCACTAATTGATCCAGATTAACGGGGCCATCTCGAGCGTATATAATTCCACCATCATCTCCGTGACTGAGAATGATACAGACGAAGCAGTCATCATCCTTGTGCGATTGGCTTGCAACTAAATAAATTAAAAATAGATAAAATGACAAGAAAATACATTAACTACATTGCTTTTGAATTTCTAAAATAAGGTAAATGAAAAAAGAAAATACCTAGATATGTATATTTTACGATGAGAAGAGGCTATAATTTGTCTGTGTGGAAAAAATATAGATGAATACAGAAGGCAAAAAATAAAGTATGTAATGTGTAATATGAAATCATAGATTAATTCGTACCTCACTAATTCGATTATGATGAATATAATATGATTAAAAAATGGAATAGAGGTAAAAACTGATGATTCATATAAACATAGCTATAGTATACATTAAAAATTCCAAATATAGTATCAAAACTTATACAAAGTGAAAAGAAACAAATATGACATAAAAAACATTAAAATATAAAATCGTGTGGCCTTAACGTATGAATATGAAGATCTGCTTATTATTACTTAAAACATAAAAATATGTACCTTTGCGTGCAGCGGAAATCATTTCGCGAGCAGTGGGATTAGAACAGAGAAGAACTTCAAATTCTAGAAAATCGAAAGCTTCATATACATTTTTAGTGTCTATTTCAGCCCCAGGTCTGGGTGGGAGACAAAGAGCTGGTTCAAAGTTCTCTACACATAATATCAGGCACGCTCCTCTTTTCGGATTTCTTGTTGAATAAACATAGCTAGCAGGCGAACGAACTGAAGGATTATTTGAACAGACTATGTTGAAAGATTTTTCTTTCGAATTCGATTCAGTGTTAGGGGTCGCTTTTACTTGTGCAGAGGCTGAGCTAGTTCTGACAGGAGAATGAAAACCTGATCGCTTGTTTGATTCGGTAGTTTCCCTTATATCAAGTCTCTGCATTTCCCTTTACATTAGGTAAAATATTAATAATACTTGTAGGTAGCATCTGATTCATCCTTGGCTTTACTCATGGAAAGACCCGCAGTAAGAACGAGCAGGTACTTGGTTGTAGCGGGAGTAATCAGCAAAATTAATTAACGAATCAAAAAAATAAATAAAAATATGATCAATTTTTTCTTCTAAATAGTTTTTAAAAATAAAAAGGGCAAGAATTAACATTTTAAAAAGGTTTCAGTGGAAAACTTTATATTAATTTTAGGGTGTTATCGCAAATAAATGGGTAACAAGCATTCAATGATTATACCAAAGTAAT